GCATGAATATGCTGATGCAGGCCTTAGGACCCTTATACTAGCCTATCGTGAGCTACATGAAGAAGAATATAAGGAGTTTGATGAGAAATTTTCTGAAGCCAAAAACTCAGTCAGTGCAGATCAGGAAACACTAATTGGTGAAGCATCTGATAAAGTTGAGAGTAATCTAATCCTCCTTGGTGCCACTGCAGTAGAGGACAAACTCCAGAATGGGGTGAGTTAGAAAAATACCTCATGTTTCTTACATAGGCGAATATTTATCAACTAGAACAGGACCTAAAACGATGCCTCTCTCTCTTTTTTTCTGGTTAGGTTCCTGATTGCATTGACAAGCTTGCTCAAGCAGGAATTAAAATTTGGGTTTTGACTGGGGATAAAATGGAGACTGCCATCAATATTGGGTATTGTATTGTGATCATTCCACTTTGATGTTGGCCAGAGTAACTTTGCTAGATATCTGACATTTTTCTGTATAAAATTGCAGTTTTGCTTGTAGTTTGCTTAGACAAGGAATGAAGCAAATTATCATTCATCTGGAGGCTCCAGAAATTCAAGCATTGGAGAAGGAGGGGGACAAAATTGCCATTGCCAAGGTAAAACAACATTTAGATCTTTACTTAGTTCTTGTGAACATGTGGTTTGCATATGGAGCACTGAGTTTTGTTCCTCATCATCAAAGATGCAATGCAAGCTTGCATGCCTCGACTTATAAGATGTTACTCTATGCTGTGATAGATTTTCTTCCTTTACTCTCTTAACTTCCTTTTGTTTTTTAACCATTATTAAGCTTTCAGTTAAAAGATAGTCTCCTGATATCTCTATGCTGATTCATCTTTTAAGGCATCAAGAGAAAATGTCCGTCGTCAGATATCTGAAGGCACCACTCGGCTTACTGCATCCGGTGGAACCTCTCAGCAAGCATTTGCTCTGGTTATTGACGGAAAATCTCTTGTTTATGCTCTAGAGGATGGAATGAAGAACATGTTCCTGGAGCTTGCAATTGGCTGCGCATCTGTTATCTGCTGTCGCTCCTCACCTAAGCAGAAGGCACTGGTATGTTTAGATCTGCCTTTTCCCATCCTCTATTCTTTCGAGAGTATGCCATCATTTATGTCAGTTCTTTAAAAATAATTTCTTTTTACTGGTTTCTCCCTTGAAGGTTACTAGACTGGTTAAATCTGGAACTGGAAAAACTACATTAGCTATTGGTGATGGAGCCAATGATGTGGGGATGCTTCAAGAGGCAGATATAGGGATTGGAATCAGTGGTGTTGAAGGAATGCAGGTACTCGGATAGTCGTCAAATTTTGATCAGTTTTCCCTTCCATTTGATTTTCTAACAACCCTTTATTTTCTAACCTATACCAGGCTGTTATGTCTAGTGATGTTGCAATTGCACAGTTCAGATATTTGGAACGGTTACTACTTGTGCATGGACATTGGTGTTATCGAAGGATATCATTGATGGTATTGCCACTTTCATATCTGTTTCCACATTATAAAAATTCAACTTCTAAACGATGATGGTTAGCTGTTGTTTTGATGATATATTGACTCTTTCATCCCTCTTTGGCAGATATGTTACTTTTTCTACAAAAATATCACGTTTGGCTTCACTCTATTCTTGTATGAGGTGTATTCTTCATTCTCCGCACAACCTGCATACAATGACTGGTTTTTGTCTCTCTATAATGTCTTCTTCTCTTCACTCCCTGTGATTGCCCTCGGTGTATTTGACCAAGATGTCTCTGCCCGCTATTGTCTTAAGGTAAGCTAATAGACTGTTCATTTCTTGATCTGAAGTCATGCCTAACAATCAAAGATATATTTATTAACTCACGCTCATCCATAAACCCGGTTAATATGGCAAAATACTTGATTGGATTTTGATGGGCATATAACAGAACTATAGAGAGTAGCATGTTGTTCCAACATAATGACTAGTACATGTATTACATACAATAAAGGGAGAATCCCAAAAAAATACCTCTAAAATTGCAAAATCTCAAATCAGGAATGACTACAAAAAATATGTTGTCATTTGTTTTTCAAATGTTGTCAATTATTATTAAAGTATAGTGAACAAGACTCGTTTTGGAATTTTGAGATTTAAAGGTATTTTTTTTGGGATTCTCCCCACAATAAACCCCGCTTCTTGACTTTTTCTTCAGTAAGACATACTGCTAGGGATTAGCTCATTTAGTGCGAGATATGGCGTCTCTCTTTGGCAACCCTGGTTCAGTTTTTCTAGGGAGCATTCAGGAAGTAAAATTCTGAATAAACCAAATCAATGTACATCTTTAAAGTGGCTCAAGGGGAGAACTTATTTTCAAGTGCATCGCTTAGGAATAGAAGTATCATTTGGGGTTTCCTGGCATGTTCCTATGCTGATCAATCAATATTTCCAATGTGGCAGTTTCCTTTGCTGTATCAAGAAGGAGTACAGAATGTCCTCTTCAGTTGGCGCCGTATATTCAGTTGGATGCTAAATGGATTCGTCAGTGCCATAATAATCTTCTTCTTCTGCACAAAAGCAATGGAGCTTCAGGCCTTTGAAAAGGACGGACGAACTGCCGGGAGAGACATCCTTGGAGCAACAATGTATACCTGTGTTGTCTGGGTTGTGAACTTGCAGATGGCACTTGCCATAAGCTACTTCACCTTGATACAGCATATCTTCATCTGGGGTTCCATTGTTTTTTGGTATATTTTCCTTATGATATACGGAGCAATGAATCCTTCATTCTCCACAAATGCTTACAAAGTCTTCCTCGAAACTCTTGCCCCGTCACCTTCCTTCTGGCTTGTGACATTCTTCGTGGCAATCTCAACTCTCACTCCATATTTCTCATTCTCAGCAATTCAGATGAGGTTCTTCCCATTATATCATGAAATGATCCAGTGGGTGAGGCATGAAGGGAAGACCAATGATCCTGAATATTGTGACATAGTGAGGCAGAGATCACTGAGGCCAACAACCGTGGGTTCCACAGCTCGTGTAGCCGCTAGAAACAGAGCTTCTAACCATAGATAATATGTTTTTCATCCGTCCAACGTTATAGTTTGTCTGCATCAGCATATAAAACTTAGGTGAAATTCTTCCTCTACCTGCTATTAGATTCTTCTGAATAAATATGGTATTGGGTGAACCATTTTATAAGAGGTGATGAAATTGTAGAGTGAATATCCATGTATCATATCTTATTTAGAGGTTCCACCTAAGTTTTGTTTAGTGGATCTTTTCCCACTCAGAAAAGTATGGTTGCTTCAATCCACTTCCACAATGAGGCATAGATAAATCATTAGCTGTGAAGTTGGTTGGAAGAAGTGGACTGTGTATTTACCCCTTTTCTCCCCATTTGAGGCTTCTTAGCATTTGATTTTTTTATTCAATATTTTGTATCATAAGAGATTTTTAATGTATAGAGAAACGTATAGTTTGTATAGAATTGGATAGAGTTGCTTTTAGCTGTAGAAAACAGAGCAGAGTTTGCTAGTATCCTTGTATTTCTATTTTTATTAATCAGCTTGTGAAGACCCTTCACTACTCATTTTTGTTAATTACTAGCTTATAAGAAACATCATTCGCTTAACTACTTTGTGTAGTTTAATGAAATTAGTTAAAAGTAGTTAATTGTAAAAAAAGCTCTGTATAATATTTTAAAATTATCTTTAATCAAATTGAGATGAAATAGAATAAGGGGCAGTGAAAAAAAAAATCCCTTTTTTAAAAATGAGTCATAAATGTATTACTCTTCTGATTTTAAATATAAGATCCCTTTTGTAATGTAAATTATACTACAAAGTGAGTCTTATATTTAAAACCGGAGAAATAGTATTCATTTTGTAAAAGGTTTTATACCAGATGTTATCAGAAAAAGCCGGTTTTAAGTTGAAATGACTACACATTTATAAAATTTTATATTTTAATAATTTTTTTGGATGAGAGAAATATTTCCTAATTTAATTATTCATATGATACTTTTTTTCAAAAATGATTTTTTCATTTGATTGTAAAAAAGCTTTATGTTTAATGTTAAACGCAGATAGAATTGAAAGCTCCCAAAAATGACTATTAACAAGTGCCAATAATTGGTGTCAAAAGACCACCGGGACAAATAAGTAATAAATTTCCACTCAATGGCTCGGCCTCATGTTTAGGTCCTAAGGTTTTGACTTCTCCAGATGAAGACAAAGTTATAGAGCTCATACCTCTTTCATTCATCGGAGAGATCAAGAAAAATAAATAAATAAATGTAATTTTATAACTTCCATTGTTTTTTTTTTTACCTGTTATAACTTCCATTGTTATTACTTGTGACTATGACAACTTACAGAGTAGTAACCCTCTGGAATCTGGTCTTTATTACAAGTATTCTTTTAACTAAATCTTATGTATCAATGAATAATAATTAAGTAATTAAATAGTCTTAAATTCATGAAATTTTTTTAAAGATTATCCTTTTTAAATTGTTTTTTTCCTCTATATTTATAAATCATTTTTTACCTCCTTATTCTCTTCCTCTCTTCTTCCTCCGAGTGAGAATTAAACAAAAATAAAATTAAAAAAATCATTAATAACTTTCTAAATAAATATATACTTGGGACCAAGAAATTTTTCTGTAAAACAATTATAATAAAGAGGGGAATGAGTTGTCGCTCAGAATTTTTTTTTAAAAAAATAGACACAAAAAAAAAAAAAGGGAACCACACATCACGTTATTTAATCCATATATATATAGGATATTTTAGGACCCACTTGTCTTGTTAAGTAAGCTCACCAAACACCTACTAAATATGTACAATTAATGGATGTTCAAGATTTGTTTTAAATTCATCAATTTATTAAGATAGTTGTTTTTGATTGATCAGATACCACAAAAAACTCCAGTAGAACTTTGGCATCAAATCTCTGTTTCAAAATTATATATTTCTTGGATGTTTGGTTTTGTACTTGCCACAAGTAAGCATTTTCCCCTGTGCTTTCAAGGAAATTTTAGGTATTGAGCTCCTTGAATTAAGCATTTACCAGTAAGCATTATTACAAGAGAGAAATAGAGGTAATTTAATATGACTAAGTGATAAAACTACAACTGAGGAGAATTTAAAGCACAGACTAAAAGCTAATCTAATCAAAAACTACAAAGGAAGAAGAAGATGGGTTTGATTGTTTGATTGATACTCTGTTTCAAGTTTTGAACATCAGATCTTGTTCATCTTTTTTCTTCCCATTACTTCCATGGTGCCTGAAAATCCACCTCCAACTCTTCATGCTTCTTCTTCCTCTCTTGATTCCTCTGTCATTTACAGTGATCCTACATGATCCTCCACTGCTTAAATCTCCATCTCCATCGTTGCCCATGAAAGTCCCACACCTTGTGCTCCCGAATGCAGATAGGCTATCGCTCAATTTTGCAGATGGATACTCTGGTTTGGATTCTGAAGAAAAATCGAGCTTCAAATCTATGAATCTTGACTCGTCCATGCCTTTGAAATCGCTCTCTCTGAGTGAAAACACGCGTCTGTTTACCCCATAGAATCCTGCATCAACATCCATGAATGAATCTCTCTTCTCGCCGTCGTACCCACTCCTTCGAGGCTCTGCTTCACTGTAGCCGCTTCTTCTTCCAGATTCCAGAAGCAGACCGCCGTTCACGCCGGAGCTTCTCGCCGCAGAAATGGAGCTCCGGGCTCCTGATAAGATCGAATCGCCCCCATCTTCGGATCCGAATACTCCACCGTTTCTGAAACTACAGAGAGATCTGGACCTCGAGACGCCTCCGTGATCGCCCGCCCACGTGTCGCTCTTCTCATCGAATCCGCCATTAACGCTTCTTCCACAGTCCTTTTCTTTCTTCTTCCTGAACAATTTGCCGATTCTCCAGAACTTTCCACTCCGCTTGAGGTCGACGCTGTTACTGCTGCTCCTCCTGAGAATCACGAACTCATCCGCTTTATCCTGCAATTTAGGTTTAGAATGCGGAATCAAGGTCTCGTTCTTCTCGTTCTCGATCAGGAAGGAAACTCTTCCGACGCTTCCGACCTCAACAGTACAAGAATTTCGATTGGGAGAGATCTCAGAGCAAGAGCAAGAGGAAAGTCTTTGTTCCCCACAATCAGAGCACACAAGCTTCACCAAACGATCTTTGAGACAATACGCGCAGATACCCCCCGAAGAAGAAGAGGGATGCTTCTTACAGGGAAGATCAGAGGTAGAATAATACTGATAATCCATCAAGTCATTATCGTGATGGTAAGCCGCAGCCTCAACGCCTTTGCTTCTTCTCTCTTTCATGGCTCCCAAAAACCCCCAAAAAAAAGTTTTAAAAAACAGAGTGAGATCAAAAACAGGGGTGACCTTGCGGGAAAAGAAGGAATGAATGAATCAAATACGAAGAACAAGGAAGGAAAGTGAAAGCATAAAGAGGAAAGATGAGATTTTTGTTTTTTGAGAGAAAAGGAAGGTGGTGGTGAGGTGGTGAGTAGTACAGAAGAGAGGCGTCACCTTTACGTTTGGCAAGCAGGAAAAAAGGGAGCGAGAAAAAGGAGCAGGAAGAGAGAGAGAGAGAGAGGATGATGCAGGCATTATTATGAAGGTGTAGGGAAGGGGAGGGAGGGAAAGAAGGAACAGGGGAATGACTATGAGAGATTGTTGAGTGAGTGAGTGAACAAACTCGTCATGACTTGCTTGATGAAGTCGAGAAATGAATGAATGCAATATACTTATTCTTAATCTCTGCATGCAAATGTACCATCAAATCAGAAGAACCCTAACCCCACCAAACCCAAAGTTGCTAACTTTGAAGAGAAAATCAAACCCCCCCCCCATCCCTCCTTTTGCCCCAAGTCATCCTTAAATCATGTCTTAATTCTCAAACACCACGCTAGTCTCTCTCCCTCCAACTTAAACCTCTCCCCATCCCATGAATTGTCATATAAAAGCAGAGTCTGTGAATTTGGTTTCACTTATAACCTCAAACCATTACTCTGTAATGGGTAAACATTAACAAGTCATGCCCTGCACAAACGCAGAACTAGGAAGATCTGCAATGCAGTGAGGTCTCCAATTTCCATCCGGGGCAATTGCTGGACGTCATTGTGACATGGTGATTGGACACGTGTCCCACCGACAGAAGGGTGGGGGTTATTAAATTGAGGGGGGGTGTGTGTGTGGGGGAGCCGTACAGTTCGAATGGGGAGTGCGTGCACGTAGTGGCTTTTAGAGTGAGGGGAGTGAGAGTGAGAGAGAGAGAACTTTGATGTGATGCTTGGCCCAAACGTTTCCCATGTTGTAGCGTGCCGTATTAGGTTTCCCTCTTCATCCCACCCCGTCCTTTCTTTTCCTTCCTAACCTTCCTTCCTTCCTGCCCGGCCCCTTCTTCTCCTACGCAATTCCCTTCCATTTTGTGTCGCCAATCAGTGCTTATTTTACCAATTCCTTTGGCTGAGAATCACTTTTTTTTTCCCCTCACCAAATTATATCCATCCCCTAGTTTTATGTTCAAAGTTGCAAAATTATACCACTGAATTTCTCTCTCTAAATTATTTGCAGGGTAAAAATTTATTTTTAAATATAAATCACTTATAGAATACTACTTTCGATCCTAATTATAAGATTTCGTTTGTAGTTTATAAATAAGATTTTATAATTAAGATTGGAGATAGTAACTAATAACTATTTTCTAATTTTACTCCATTTAGTACGAGAAAATGGGTGAGAGATAATGTACAACATATCTTTTTTCAATATCCTTTAAACAGAGGTAAATGTGTAAACTTCTATAAATTTAATATATTTCTTGATATATAAGAATAAGATACAAGGGAGTCATGTATAAGAATAGGGTGATAACTTTTAATGTACTTATGGCATGTTACTGGTTGTTAAGAGCCTAACACAAATCTTTTTCTTATTAAGAGCCTTGGGATTGATTATGAAACACACATGAAATTATGAGGATAATCAAGTAGAGGTAACATTCAAAATGGCCATGTACAAGACAAATGAGTTGACGACGTTTATATATATATATATATATATATATATATATATATATATAAGGAGTGGTGAAAAATTGTGTAAAAATTTGAACATATAACAAAGAAAACAAGTTAAGGCATCGATGGAGAAAGTTGAAGGGTAACAAATAAAACATGAATAAGGTTTGTTATTGTTGTTGGTGCTATTCAGTATGATTCAGTGCAGGTTAATGTTAATATGGTTTTCCTTTTAGGTATAAAGGGATATGGCCAACTCTACTTTAGTGAAAGAAAAGATCGAATGGGACGTAATGCAGATTAAGGAAATCTTTGATAAGCGACATGTTCACACCAAAGGTCGATATAAATTTGTACTGCAATTCCTTCATTTGCGGGTAATTAATTGTCTGGATCAGCCTCATTGGACGACTCCGGTTTTTTGGTCAACGAATCTATTAAATATCATCTCAATCAATACACACACACACACATTTGATTAAATAATGTGTATTAATATCCAAAGCTTATCAAAGAGCGATTAATTATATTGCTGATTATTTATAATTGGATTTTGGAATAATGGAATAGTATTGTTGTTTGAGGGGATGAATAGCCATGGATCTTTTGAAGCACATAGAGGTGTCAAGTTTGAATTTTGAGGACGTTGCATGATGTCTTGAAAATGTCTCTTTGGTGGGAGGAAGAGAGAGATATTGATGATTATGAATGATTATAATAATTAATTATTGAAGAGGCTAAGGTAGCTTCTTTCTTCATTTTCTTCCATGAATTCATCAGACGAAGCTAGCTGACAAAAAAAAAAAAAAAGCTGATCATAATAAACAAAGTCAAATGCATTTGAGTGGCTTTATATGTTGTCCCTTGTCTTTCATTCCTTCTTATTGCTTCATTCCCATGTTAACGGTCAAAGCACCTACGTCACAGGTGCAAATTACATTTCGTTACCCAAAAGTTTATGAATTCCAAAGTTACATTCATTTTGATTTTGTCAAGAGAACTTGGTTGTGTGTGAAGTGTGAGCTCATGTATTTCTTGTAATGCCAATGGCTTTGTAGCTATAATATAGTGATATATAAAAGCTCATTATATGAAAGATCGTGATTTCAATTCTGCCTATAATCTCGTTAGTGCATGTTCTTCTAAATTTAAAAAGCACATACCCCTTATCATAAGATTAGAGTTTCAAGTTTATCAAGAACGTTTGATAAGTGAAAAAAATATATTAAAAAAAGAAATTATAAATTTTTCTGGGAGAAGTAATCGATACCATCTCGAATAAAATTGTTTTTAATGAAAAAATACATATGGACAGTAAAAAAAAACTCTGCCTTGTTAAAACATTACTAAACATATCAAATAATTGGTAAATAACTCAAATAACTTCAAGAAAACACCCACACATAAATCAGTCAAAACTTAATTAGAGTTGAAGAATCTAGGTAGAATTAAATAATAGAAATTAAAAGGGGGGTTTTGGTTAATAAATCTCAACGTTAACACTTGGAAAACAAAATTTGACTAAGCTTAGTGATTGAATATAATTATTATAATATCTATATATATATAAAGTGGGGGTGTCAGGCAAAATATATATATATATATATATATATATATATATATAAGTGGGGGTGAATGAATTAATGGAATATGATTGAATATATATGTGTGTATATAGGGATTGACCAAAAAAATATATGTATATAGGGATGGATTGATGCTAAAAAAAAAAAAAAAGGGATGATAATGGGTGTTTGGCACGCTGGAAGCAAAGCATGCAAAATGGGAAGCATCATTGGGACAAAAGGCAGCAAAACAGGAGAATGAGGCCTTATGTTGGAGTGACAAGTGAGTGAAGAATATGTTGTAATTTTAATTATTATAATTAATTAATTAATTTAAAATATTATCCCAATCATTATGTCCCCTCCTTCCTCATTCATTATTTTGTTGTTTCTCTCATCAATGTGGTTTTTCAAATCATTTGGGTGCCTAGTCTGATGCAGATCCACTACAATAAGTGATCCCCTGCCAAAATAAATAAATTACACTAATATTGCTGCTACTCTTTTTTTATTACTATATACTACTAATATTTTCTATAAATAGATCTGATAACATTTTTAATTCTAAATTTTTCATCTTTAAGAACCAAAGTTATTGATAAATTATAAGGGATTTATTACTCTTTTCGTAAAATAATATATTATAATATAATATTTTTTTAATAAATTAATTTAGAACGTACGAGTAATGTTCTTAATATTTTAGATTAATTATCTATTCAGTAATAAATTTAATTCTTCAAGATAGATATTTACTTTTTAAGATCTTCCAGTTTATAAATTATAAACAGCTGGTTTTTTAACTTTCCAAAGATGGTTATTTTATGCTTCCCAAATTTAAAATAATTTTCCAGGAAAAATTATGTATTGATGAAGATAAAAATGTTCCATAAAAATGTAAAAAGTATATTACTACTATTAATTAGTAAAATAATTTTTTGTGTAAGAAAAATGAAATAATTGTATATTTTAAAAATAAAATAAAACTAAAGTGTGTAGTAGATAAATAAATAATTTTAAGACGTGTGCTTTTGGAAAAGAATGAGAAGATTTGGTTGGGTTAGCAGCTTTTGTTTGAAATGAGCTAATGATTAAGTGCAATTAACCTACTAACTTATGGCCATGTTGCCTGTCTGACATGCACCTCCCTTGGGCCCCACTGCACCCTAATCTCTCTTAATATTGCTTCAATTTTTTATCAATGAAAAAAATATTAAACCACTTTAAAAATTAAATTTAATTATATAATTTTGATTTTGTTATGCCTCTCAATAACTTGATAGATGGAACACAAAAATATAAGTCTGATGTTTAGTCCCTAAAAATAAACAATACTATGATTTAGACTTCGTACAAAACATGGGCCTATAATTTAATTAGTAAAAAAATATATGAAACAATAAAATTTGAAATGCAATAAATATTTAAGAGTAAATTGATATATTGATTAAATAAAATGATGAATTTATTTCTGTTGTGAATTAAGGTTTTGCTTGTTTTAACCTGAAATTAAGTTTTTTTTTTGGTTCAACACCCATTAAATATTAATGTTTAGAATTCAAATTGTGGCGATAGAAAAATAATAATAATAATATGGTGAGAGCCAAAAGTCGTTAGAAAATATCTCTTTCTTATAATTTAGAAAGAATGTCCAAAAAAATACATTTGAATTTTAAAATTTCAAATTAGTCTTATTCACTACATTTTATTAACAATTAATAACATTTGAAAAGCAAATAATAACACATTTTTGTAATCATTCTTAATTTGAGTTTTTAAAATTTTAAATGTATTTTTTTTAAGATTTTTCCAATCAAGATGGAAATGGAACATAGGATAAGAGAATGTTGTGAAGTCTGCATAGAACATGAGTTTGTTTCAAAGATTATCCAGGGAATAGTGGAATGTTTTGTTGATGAAAAGTATATATTATACATAATTATTCATATGATAAAAGATTAATTATGATGTCCAAATCTGATTAGTGAGAGAGGATGGCTATATGAAGATGATGGAGTAATCCTCATTTTCAGTAATCACCAAAACCGAATCCCAAGACCATGTTCTCCAAAGAAGTAAATACAAGAGGAGGGTCAATGTGAAATTTAAAAATATGTTTGGTATATGTATGCAATTACTCATCATGAAAAGATAGAATAGATCTGAAATGTATAAATTTGAGTTAAAAT